TGCCTTGTTCATCGGTACCTTTCGGCTTTTTTGTTGCTTTCCGCTGCACGCTGGACACCTGGCCTGCGTCGATTTCGCGGCGGCATCATGACGCAGCTTTTCCACAACACACGATGCATCACGACCAGATGGCTGACCAAACCTATAGAGCCCTGCCAGCACCCCCGACATCAATATACGCAGATCGTACACGGGGTACTGCACAGCAGCAGTGTAGCTCCTACGTGGCTGCCCAGACGCTCGACCAAAGTATAGCGACCCGATATTATCCCTCACAAGTCGATGCCCGGCTGCTGTCATGTGCTCCGACCCGTGCGCTGTCTTGGGCAGGTCAGGTCACCGGAGATTGCTACGTCTGGAGGAGCGACATGCCAGAACAGTGGCAAGCAAGCGCATCAAATCATGTACTCGAGGATACATGGCGAGGCATGACTGGCAGTACTCGACTATCCAGTGACCAGGAAACCCTTCTTACATGCTCGTCGCTCCGCGGAGCAGGCTACCACAATGAGTGTAGATCGAAATTGGTAGCAGCAGGTACTACAGTAAAGCGTCCGAGCTACGCTCCGCGGAGCATGGACGTGTGTGTGTGGGGAGGGGGGGAAAGGATACCGCGCCCGCCATGATGACACCCTGCATACGCGTTGGCATGCAGCAGTTAGCTGAGCATGCACATGTAGGCAGCGGGGAAGGGAGGGATCCACGCGACCGAACAAGGTTTACCCACGAGAGATGCATCCAAACGACTGCACATCATTCGTTTAGACCGCAGATTAAGCTCGATCCCCTTTGTCCTCCCCCCCACCCCCCTTATTGCCACAAGTCAACGAGGATGGAATCCTCACCGGATTACCCACAGCAGACGTTTCCTGTCAAAACTGGCCTGCACGCTTCGCTTGCATTCTTCCTTGCCCTCCACCCTCCCCTGTTTAGACTCGCAGCCAAAGGTTACATACATGCTAGTACAGGACACTACAGCTGACCCTGACCCAGCCAAAACGCTCCTCTTTTCCAAGACTCGAGCAAAAAGCCAATTCCAACCTTCCGAAACAACCATAGTCTGTTTTTTTGTTTATTTATATATTGGTTTTGAAACATTTCACGTCGGTACCGCCGATGTGAGCAGCTCACCAAGGAGTGGAAGAGAGGGAGAGGGAGAGAGAATGGGACGAGTAAACCCGCCCTCAAAGCGATGCCGAGTACATTTCCATGGCGTATGGATTTCGATACGGGTAAGCCCCACGTTCTTTTTATTTTAGTCGTGATCGCTGCGCGCCTGTTGGCCAGGTGGAAGATTTCCCACACTTTTGGAACAGAGACTTGGGTAGTCTAAAACCCACGGTACCTGACTTCTTGCATCCTTGCACCCCCCTCCAAGTGTATGTACACGACGTACATGGAGTGACAGGCTGCAAGTAAGCGCCGCTACTTACTCGACCCACTACCACTACCACTACTACTACTACCACTCCCACTCCCACTACCACTACCACGCTCCAAACCTTGCATGCACCAACAACGCAGCATGCAAAAACGGAAATATTATACACCCCCCCATGTCGTTTCTCGCTTACCGTGGCGTGCGCGCGCGCCCTGTGTTACACACACACTCTCTCACTGTCCGATCTGTCGTCTCTATGTTCTCTTCTCACTCGCTGGCTCGCTCGCCATGTTTACCCGTACCAATCGCCTCGCTTAGCTATATCTTGGGTCCCTACCGGTATCTTGGGTAGCTAGCTGCGTGGGCGCTCCCACTCCCCCTCCCCCCCGCGCGCCAGCGCAAACCTTGTTTGACAGACAGTTGGCCATGGCAATGGCGCGCCGTCGCCGCCGCCGCCGCCGCCGCTGGCTCCATTGTGATTGTGTCTGTCTATCTCACCCGGCTGGGCTAAACTAGGTGTAGCGATTGGAGGGCTAACGCGCTGAATGGATTCATCCGTGGTCGGTGGAGAAGTGGGTTTGGATAGGGTTCGGTAGAGGCGCGGTAAGCACGCGTTCGTTTATTCATTTCCGTCTTGATGCGCAATACTCAAATCATTGTTACTAGGACGTCTCATTCATTCATTCATTCACTCACTCCCTCACAAACTAACTTGTCAACTCGCTTCTTGGATTATTTTTTTTCCCTGATTTCTTGGTTGCGAGAGTCGACCGTGGTTCACTAGCTCTGCATCCTCCATAGTAGGTGTAGTTGCGTTTATTGATTTCACGGCCCGAGGGCATACATCCATCGGTACATCCTTACACACACACACACATACATACATACATACATACATACAGACCGACAGACCGACAGACCGACAGATGGACGTGTAGCGGTGAAAGATCACGGATACAGTATCTAGCCATCTATTTCCGATGTCGCCCTTGACTACAGCCGATTGGGCGAAAAAGAACGCAGAAGAGAGAGAGACAGACGAGGGGGGAACACCAGTGGTTGGAAGGAAGACTCGCTAAGCTCCATCGGGCCGCTTTTGTATCTAGTGGAGGTGTGGAGAAAAGCACCACCAGTCCAATCCCATGCGCACTTCAAAGCCATTCAATATTTGCTTTTTTTTAGCGAGGGGCGGTGCGGCGCGTGTTTGGAGGAGGGGAAGACAACCTCTTTTTTTTTGGTTGCTGAACGGCAGTGAGGCGCGTGGCATGTGTGTAGTGTGTAGTCACAGTATGATTGTGCGAAAGGCGTGCATGTCTTTCCTTGGGGGACTTGGTGATGTTGCGCTGTTGATACTATGGACATACACAACCACCACTGCCATCCCTACTGCGCACATGATCCATTCTTTTCCTTCTTCACGCACCACCCAGGGTCATGCCTGTCCGACGGGGTAAATCTGCGTCGCAAAACAGTTACACCGACGAGTGGTGGTGGTGGTGGTAGTGGTGGTGGGTAACGTGATTCCTCTCGCATCGAGTTGGATTTGTTGTCGGAGTTGCATTGATTTTACACCGCTGATATGCAGCACGGCGCGGTTGCTTGGTGGGAAGCAAAAAGAGACCCCTCGTAGTGCAAGCAGTACAGTAGCAGCCGACTAATCATTCCGTCTTGTTGGGATGGAACGAACGAGGGGTGTGCGGCCGGCAATCGACAGGCGGTGTGTATACACACACGCACACGCACAGTCTCTTGCTCTCTTTCTGTCGGTTTCCCCCAATCGTGCCCCGGCGGGTAGCGTGGCTGTTTGTGCAAAATGCGCGACATGGTGGTTCATCGGTAACCGTTATGCCGATGCTGGTTGCTGCGTCAAGTACGTGGTTACATGGACCACGGTTCTCAACGGGACATGTTGGACGTTGGGAGCTGCAGCCTTTGGTCGACAGGTTGCCCCGTCATGTGCGTTGCTGCGTTGCATGCGCTCCGTCAAAGCTCCATGTCATGCATGCAATCCATCCCACGCCCCGTGCTGGTGCTGGTGCAAGACGTGGCGGGAAAAGCGCCTGATGGCCGTCACGGGCTGTGGCATGTGCAGTGCCATTATCGGTGGCTGGCTTGCTGACCAACCCGTGCATTAATTTACGGTATATAGTAAAGGCTAGGAATAATACGCTGGTTGATACATCGTTATAGACTGGCGTATGAGATATCGGCATTTAGTGGCTTTGGCTACAGTGGCTCTACGTACTACTACCTCGCAACTCATACAGATTAAAAAGGTAGTACGTAGTGGGGCTGAAGCCACCCGATATACGGATCTGATTCGCCACCCTAGACGTAGCCTCCTTTACAAGAGTATCATAACAAAGTAGACGATGAAAACAAATTACACCAGATGATAGCTTCTGCACATAATAGTATTGTGTACGGCTACAGTCGCACCAAGTTCATCACTATCATATACTATCATATAAACTCAATCTGCCAGAGTTGATGGGCGCCTACGCTGTCAAGGCTCCCTTGCCAGCCTACAATACGCGTTCTATCGTATGAGAGCAGTGGTTAGCTGAACATGTTCATCCTCGAAGATTTGAAGAAGAAAAAAAATAACCTCACCCGTTCACCGAACCGCCAGTGAACAGATCCACAAAGGTCATCGTACCATGATTTTGGATCCTAGACCTTTCTTTAGACACCTATCCCCAATTTCTAGACCACCATTTAGTGACTCACCTGACTATTTGTCCCTTCCTTACCCAATTAGCTCTGGGGTGAATGTACCAGAGCTGGTGTTCGTTGAGTTCCTTTCCAAATTGCCATCCTGTGATCGGGGGTCCCGTCCTCGCCGTCGCCACAGTAAAGATATAGGCATTCTGCAGACGTCTTAGCATCGAAACTCAATAAACTACAAAGCCTTTTGAACTTCATTTCGAATTAGAGCTTGCTGCTTGGAGAGTTCATGTTTTTAATCATGAAGACGGGGCGACTAGTCCCCTTGTCCTTGACGACCTCAAGCTTCCACTGTTGGTTTTGCTCGTTATGTACGTGCCAGTTGTGGACAGATAGCCCACCTGGAGGATTCTCTTCATCTTCTCAACTTTGAATCGGGAGGTCATGTATCCACTGGTTTCGGCAAATTGGATGTAATAAATATGGGTTGTTTACTACTGAGATTCAGCACATCATCTTTCTAGCTGATATTCAAATGAACAATCAAGTTTTACTACGAATAAGGCTAGTTTGAGATGTTAACGTGGAGGATTAAGTCCAAGTGAAGCTAGAAGTATTCTGTCAATACCTCGTTTAGGCTACATAGCATGTACATTTTAGTAGAGGAAAAAATATATAATACTACGTATGAGATGTAGCGTAGTTGTAAAGTATCTATGTACTCTGAATTTAACAGAACTTCTTAGGACCTCTTCCGTGTTAGACTACAACTATGTAGCTACTAGACATAGAACAAGCGATAGTAGATTATAGGCAGTAGTAAAATGTAGTATATTTACAAAATCAATCTCGAGTCTCTTTAGGTAGACTAGAGGTTTGTATATCTAGAACTAATTAAGAGGATAAGAAATAAGCTGACTAGGAGTACAGAAATGTGGTTTCTAATAACACCTTAGCTGTCACCCTTGAGAACATCCTTCCCATCCTTATGCTCGTTTTCCAATCGCACCGCAGTATGATTCGTAAGGTACTGTGATGGATCCATCATTACAAGAGCCAATAGGATGGCAATGACATTGAAAGGAATGGTGCTGTATGAAATCATTCTGAACCCCTTCCCATACACCTCTCGAAGTGCATGAGCCGAGGCAGCCTCGACTGCAGGAGTGATACCAGGAACTGTGGCGAACGCGCCAGGAACGCCGGCGGCATTTTCGACGGTCGCGCCGATCAGACGGCCGATGTTAGCTGGATCAAATTGTCCGGTTGAAAGAGCGGCTTTGGCAATAGCGTTGCCCAAGTTATCGTTCACAACACCGTTCAGTATAGCGTTGAAAATCGCGTTTCCAACACTACCACCCATGCTTCTAAATGTGCCGATGAGGCCCGTTGCTAGACCCAGATATTGTAACGGAATATTCACGCCGGCTGCAACATAGCATAAGATAACAATCCACGAGAAAGGGCCTAGTATGAAGACCTGCAATGCAGACCATGCATACTTGTTCTTTGGAACCACAGTAGCCAATACAGCACAGAATATAGTCTGTATTGCGCATGCTGTAATCATCTGCATCTTGAGGCGCTTGAATTTACCTAAGAGTGCCGTCACCATGACCCCGAATACGAACTGTAAAGCATGAGCAAATGAGCCATCATCTGGGGCTCACTCATACCTGGGAGACTCCATTCGGTAGTGCAATCAACCCGATCTGAATTGGATCATTTGTATACATAAATAGGGTGCCTTGCGGGAGGAGAGAGCTTAGTGAGTAGAAGTCGATGCCAATATGTACATTAGCGATCGCAAGGTAAGAAGGTGAACTCTGTCTGACTCACCAGCCACGAATGTGATGCCAAGCAGAACCGTGAATTCCGTGAATTTCTTAAATATCTTCAAGGGGAAAAATGGTTGCTTGGCCCATACAAAATTGTACCCGAACGCGGAGAGAAGCACCGTGAAGCCCAAAGCTATAGGAACAATGACAGACGCACTCCGCCATGGATGCCCGGCCTGACCAGCCCAGGTCAACCCTACCAGGAAGGTAGTCAATCCACTTGAGTATAGACTGAGGCTAACGAAGTCTAAATCCTTGAACTCTTGCCATCTGGTTTTGTCAACATCGTACTGTGGCCGTGGGGGTGGATAGTAGAATAGGAGTACTCCGACTGAGCTGACGACACAGAAGATTAGACCCCAATAGTAGCACCAGCGCCACCCGAGAGCAGTATGAGCGTTAACACTCGTCGCTATCAGCACACTGGGTATACCGAATGGCCTGGAGTCAAAGCTTTGTCAATTGCCTCGTTGCTTACAGGAGGATAGGAGAACGTACTGCGACTCCCAGTCAACAAAAGGAACCAATTATACTGCGAAGTCAGTACTGACCATATTGATTGCAAGTTCAATCGTCGCGAGACCGGTGCCACTGTTGCAAGATCAGTTCAAGCATTGAACCGAAGAGACCTAAGCCTACCGCCATTTGTTAGGAAGAATTTCGGATACGCCGGCGTAAGCAACGAAAATCATGCCTCCACCGAATCCGAGAAATGTTGAGCCAACAATAATATTGGTCACTGAGTTTGCTGTGGCTGCAACAATCTGCCATTGCGGTGAGTGGATCGTGCCATATTCTTGAAGCCATTTTGGCCTACCGATCCGATCAGGCAAAAGACCTGGCCGCTGAGTATAGTCCACCGTTGACCAAAGACATCACTCAAACTACCCGCTACAGAGAAGGACACAGATGATGCAGTGGACCAACCTCCAACTAGCCACGCAATTTGGGTTGAATTTCCAAGATCCTGGCCTATCTGTGCAACAAGAGCGACAGGCAGTGCAAATCCACACGCAATTGGACAAACATATGATAATGCCAAGAACTGTTTTGGTTAACTAAAGATAAAAATTGTTATGTGAGAGTACATACTATCATGGCAAGAATAGTGCGAGTAGATGGTCTTTCGGCATGATCAGGATTTTCTTCAAGGGCTGCCCGGTGCGGATCAAGGAAGTCGCTCGGCCTGTCATCGATGCGCTCAATTCTTTCGGCAGAGGTATCCCCCGGCGGCTCCAGGTGCTTTTCCTTTGCGGTTGTCAAATTATTCATATTAGTATACTTTCGTTTTGAAGGCACCAATTTACAGTGGATCTTCTATAATTTCTAAAAAAAACTTGGCTGAAATTTATACAATGCCCTGAATCTAATGCGGAATGGCAAAGAGTAGCATTGCCGATAATCATAAATGATGCTGCTAGGCTTTGCAAGCCGCGCAGATCCGAACAAATCAAAACTTGCAGACGGACAAATTTATGTATCTAGTGATTAACAGAGGTCAGCTGAAAGTAGCCTAAGTTGAGATTGTGCAGACGAACGGGTTGGGGAAAAGCGGGGGTGGGGGGGGGACCGCTAAATTAGCTTGTCAGATTCAGCAGTTGTGATAAAGAATAGTTAAGGGTGGGGATCGCCTATTTACATAGCGTAGATTTGGTTCAAGCAGATGAGGGGGTGGGGGAGGGGGGCCGCCGACTTAGTGTGTCGGAGCCAGAAATCACTACAGCGGCCAGGTTTCGATCTGAAATAATAGTAATTTTAGATATTGGTGACTGTGAAGCGGATTTGTCATATAAAGCGGTTAAATTATGGTCACAAAGCCACGCAATCTTCGCCATTATATCGTCTCAACAATTTACTTTATCTCCTCTTTATTCCCCTTATCAGTCTTACTAGATCAAGAACATGGCCGCAATAAAACGCGTTGCATTGATTGGTGCTTCTGGGAAGCTGGGTCCATCGATTCTTAACGCATTCCTCGAAAACGGCAACTTTGATATTACGGTGCTGTCTCGTAAAAGTTCAGCTGCTGTATTTCCTCCAGCAGTGAAAACCATCAAGACAGAATTCGATTACGATTCGCTCAGAGTGGCATTCTCAGGCCAAGATGCTGTGATCTCTATTGTGGGAAACGCGCGAGCCAGTGATCAGAAGCTTTACATCGATGCTGCTATAGCTGCTGGTGTGAAGCGATTTGTTCCATCAGACTTTGGCGGTTGGACACCCGATGCGACTATTCTCGACAAGAACAAACTTTTCGGACCAAAAGTAGAGATAGCTGAGTATCTGAAGAAGATGGAGTCCGAAACTTTCAGCTGGAGTGCCATAATCAACGGTCCAGTCTTTGATCTTGTATGACCATCGCTTTCATTTACGAGTTACAAACCTACTAACTAGATGTGTAACAGAGCATGAAGGTGGGGTTTCTAGGATACGATTTAAAGAGCAAAACAGCGCAAATCTGGGACGACGGAGAGGCAAAATTTTCGAGCGCAACGCTTTCCACCATCGCCAAAGCCGCGGTGCGTATTCTGGAACCTGTGCACGTTGAACAAACGAAGAACCAGGATATCTTTGTTCTCTCCTTTACAACAACCCAAAACCAGATCCTTGATATCTTGGAGAAACTCACTGGTAAATGGAGTGTAGAAAAAGTGGATTCGAAGTCTTTGATTGCGGATCTGCACAAGAGGCTCGCAACAGGCGAGTTCGGACCCCAAGTGGTCTATGGGTTAATAAAGGCAGGAACCTTCGCTGCAGATGCAGGGAATCCGGGAGATTATAGTCATTTGTCGTGGAACGAGAAATTGCACTTGGACTTAGAGGATTTGGAGACTGTGTTGGCTAACATTTCAAAAGATGTGAGCTCCTGAGAAATATCAGATTACATTGAAGCTACATTAACTAGAAATAATGGACTGTGAGCCGTTTCAATTCACTCGGGCATTGAGAAAACCGATACTATTCCCGTGATTTCTAGGTGTTCACCCCCCCAGGTACGAGATTTCAAGTATGAAAGATTTCAACAATTACTGTCGTTAGCTATTAGTTCGCTCAATTCTCGATTAATCTATAGTGGCTAAGGTTTTGCTTGCAATATATCGGTGGAATCACAAAGCATTCTTCGATTCTTGATTGGGATTCACCAGTCAAAATCTTGCATGCGGATCTCCCTTTGACTGTAGGTTTTTTAAGCTTCAGCCTCCTTAAGTGAAACAAATTTGGAGAGGATATATTTGGTGTAGTCTAATCAGAGGGTATAGCGATTGTAAATTTGTGAACCTGTCAGGCGATAGGAGCCTGTTCAACTTTATCGATGTATAATTACAAGCGATACCCAATTCTTCTTCGCGTTAAGATATAAAATCATAGCTCTTGTAGAGTTCATATAGGCTTGATGATGCTCCTATCCGCCGAAACTACTTGTACAGGTGATCATACGATGCTAGTATGTATCACAGACCTATCTTATAAAACCGTTAGCGCAGCATTATTTATAGGCTCTATTCTATAGAAAACCCCGAATTAGTAGATTCTGATAGGTATGCAGGGCATAGAAGGAATCTCAAGACTTATTTATGTATACCTTACAGCTACGTACATGGAGCTGACCCTATCCATATGTATATATAGCTCCGCTATGCTGTTGTTCACGTTCTAAAATAGCCAAGATGCATTAACTATAGCTTCATATTATGAAATCACAGCTACAAAACTTCAGATTATCTGTTTGATGAATGATTTCGACGTGCTGACGTGGCGGCTATTACAACGCAGTAGAGTACACATTAGAAGATAGCAATGAGGTATGATGCCCTGCACCTTATACGCATGGATGCTTGTGAAGGTTAGTCTTAGCGCTTCAAATATGATAGAAATTGGTTTGTGTGGCATGTTGTCAGATTGTGATGGGTTGGATCAAAGACTGTGATAAAACACTGTGATTATGATGGATCAGATGTGGATCGATTAATTGTCCTGCCGTCTATGGATTAGATGGTTAGAGCCCCTTTAGAGCAGTCGTTAGCCCGTGCTCCCTAACTAATCACAGAATCCAGGTGTGATCAAGCACCCAGAATCTGTCACCTACCTAAATATTGCACGTGATCTAACACACCCCCTTAGCCTACGGGCCAATTAGAAGCCTCGCTTAGGCTAGAGCATTTTAAGCTGCTCTTGGATCTTAATAACTCGTGACTGATTCTGTAGATCTCGATCCCTGACTTCAACTAGTCTAAGTTGGATTAGGAAGCCCTGCCACTGGATCACTAGGAGTGTAACGATGTTACAACTTCGCCAAGTATTGAGCCAATCCCAGAGCCGGATCGGAGGAAGTACCTGCCGCCCTTCATCAGCCATTCGCCCGAGGTCGGATCCGAATTCGGACCCGACTAGGATAGGTATATATTGAGACACTCCCTGTAGCTAGCTCTGTAGACTTTTGATATCCTTTCGTACAAGGCCTATAGGTGGCTTGTTGAATCTAGGCTCTTTGTGATCCCACGCACTCCCATATGCCTCTGAGTGATCCTACGACCGAAAACAGATCCGACCTGCCTTACTGCGCCGTTACA